TGATGATAACAAACTATATTTACTTATGATTTTAGTGTTTCAAAGTGTCTATAGCATAGAGCTTGGAAAGACGAATCCAATGCCTTCCAAATCACTAAAATCGGAGTTGAAATGAATAATTTATGGCCAAAGTAAGTTTGGGAAGAAAAAACACATGTGGTAGGTGGCGTGGACAATACAACCAATTAGAAGCCGACACGTGGCAAATGACGTGATAATTTGCTAATGTGGCAAGATGACGTGGTAGATGATGTGGTAGGTGACGTGGAATCTAATAGTTAAATTATACCACTGTGGCAATGATGTTGTAGTAACGTGGCATCACCAATTTTGGGACGTGGTGGATGATGTGGACGGATCATACTACGACATGTGACACATTCAAATAAATCTTTAATCAATAATTTCCACAATTTTTCTTAATCTCCACAATTCTCTCAATTCCACAATCTTTTCTCAATTTCACATAATTTCTCAATCTCCACCGATTTCTCTAAATCTCCATAATTCTCTTTATTCTTTTCCTTATCTCAACTTTTAATTTTCATCATCAATTCTTTGTTGCCATAAATCCAATGGCCAAAATTCATCCTCAAAATTCTATTTAAAGCTACCGAATTTCATCATCCTATGCACCAATTATCAAAGCAAACATCTTTCTCCCTTCAAATTATTTTGCTCTCAAATTTTCATTCTCTCCATACAAAAAGTTGTCCATATTTTTTTTTGGTGAGAGATACATCAGAGTGTAGTTTTTTAGCTATTGTTTTAGTGCTAAATTTGAAAATCTACCTTAGCGAGGTATTTTATTCGTATTGCTCATTTCACATTTTGGATTTTGTATTAAGGTGCGGGTACACCTTGGGTTGTGAGAAAAGTAAATTGGTTGGATCATGAACCAGTAAAAAGGATCGAGAGTTTTTCTTTAGTCTAGGACATAAAGAGAGTCGATTGGTTTGGTTCTCACCTGCAAGAAAGTCGTTGCAGTAAAATACTCAAGAAGGAGTCTTGGGAAGTGGAGTAGGGATTTTCGAACCACTATCAAAATTCCTGGTGGCATTTCTTTCTCCTTACTCTTTTAATCTGTGCATGTAAATTTCATTTAGTTTTTGTCATTCTTAAATTTATTTTTAAAATAAAAAAGTTGGCATACAACCCTATTCACCCCGTCTAGTGTTGTCATACGATCCTACATGTTGTTTGAGAAAATTAATCAAATGCAAGAAAGCTGGGAGCAAAAACGGTGAACAATTAAAAAAAATAGTAAATGATAATGAACGAAAATTTGATTCATGGAATAAATGTAATTTTTCATTGATATTTGGGTTTATCTAATCACTTATATTTATACTTAGATTCTATATCTTGAATTCTTGAAGGATCGGCCTTTGGGCTTGTTGATCTTCTTTGGATGATCATTCTCTGGATTTGTTTATCTTCTTCTATAATCAGTGTCTGGGTTTGTTGATATCTTTTGGATGATTGACCTCTTGACTTGTTGATCTTCTTGGATGATTATCCTCCTAGCTTGTTGATCTTCTTTGGATTATTAGCCTCGTACTTTTTGCTTGTTTATCTTCTTAGATGATTGGCCTTCTGGCTTATTGATCTTCTTCAATGATCAGTCTCTTGGCTTGTTTATCTTCTTTAGATGTTATGCCTTTGGCTTGTTGACCTTCTCTTGATGATTAACACTTTGACTTGTTGATCTTTTTTGGATGATCGACCTTTAGACTTGTTGATCTTCATTGGATGATCAGTCTTTGGCTTGTTGATATTCTTGAATGATCAGTCTCTATCTTGTTTATCTTATTTGGAGAGAGAATCGACATCTGACTTTTTGTCTTTTCGGAGAGGATCAGCCTCTAGGCTTTGTTAATCTTCTTTGAAGATGATCAACCTTTAGCTTGTTTATCTTCCTAAATGATTGACCTCCTTCTCGTGGATCTTTAGAGGAATTTTGATCCTTCTTTTGAGATATTCAAAGAAATTTGTATCATCCTTATAAGATCTTCAAAGGAATTTTGATCTTCCTTCTAGGATCTTAATAGGATTTTGGTCCTCTTTTTGAGATCTTCAGGGGATTGTGATATTTCTTCTGGGATTTTTAAAGGGATTTTGATAATTCTCCTAAGATTTTGATCTCATCCGTAGATTTTGATCATTCTCTAGGATCTTATCTTCAAATTCTTCTAGTTTCAAATTGTTTAATCTTCAATCATCGACGTCTTCTGGTATTCGAAGTCTTTAATCTTTAGAGAGTTGTCAATTTGTTGGATGTCTTCTCTCTTACTTTTGGACAGTCTTCTGGAAATGTTCTCTTCCCTCTTCAAATGAGGGGCGACCATCTCTATTTATAGGGTTTTCCATAAGTTGAATGTAGATTTGAGTTTGGTTGACTTTCGTTCACTTGAGCCTTAGAATAACATGGACCTTGGGCTTGTAGGTCCATCTAGTTAATTATGTCCTGTTAGCTATTTGTAGTCTTTAATGGATTTTGGGCTTTACTTGAGTTTTAGTGGACTTCCGCTTATTTATCTTTCAGACTCAATCGCCATATGGTATACTCTGGTTAAATCAGTTTAAGGCCTTGTAAAAATACAAGTGACTTTATTTAATTTGCCAATTTTTTTGTCTTTAAATTTAATTTGGAGACACATGTAAATTTGTAATTGGTACCAAATGTAATTTCTTTATTAATTTAAAATAATGACTAACAGTTTGTGATTAGCATAAATTTATCACTCAACAGTCACAAAGGTATTGGCTAATAGACCTAAAATTCTATAATGATATTGTTGATGCTGATTTCTGGGCAAGTGTCACGTACATCTCTTAGCTCTAGGCTATTTGGACATAGAAATCTAGCACCGGTGTGGTACTGAATGCACTCTAATGCCTAAGTTAGAACTTAAGGTGGGAGCAAACGACTATGGAGCAAGTAAAGTAGAGGAGTAGTAATCTCGAAGAAAAGAGTCAGCGTGAAAGTGTGTGCCAAAATTCTCACAAGGAGTTGTGTAAGGAAAATCGGCTTACGTAGATTAAGATTTCTCTCCTCTTTATACAGAAGAGGATGAGATAGAGAGGGGAAAAATGCAACCAATCGAGAGTGTGGGGACCCTTTCTCGACATTATGCATTTTCCCCTACTATCTCGAATGGTGTGATAGCGTCTGGGGTACGCCCTAACACCGTGTCAGATGCTCCACTAGGTAAGTTTGTCGACACCTCTAACTACATTGGGAGTTTCCATATGATGCACTCGACATTGATCCATGCGCTAGCACTTTGCCTCACCTTCTTTGTAGGTCGGTGGATTTTGACATGTCCCTACAGTGGAGTTCCACGTGGCATTCTAAAACCTTACCTGAATGTATATTATCTTCGACACTCAAACTGCTTTTTGTTCCAGGGAGAGCTATCTTGTGTCTACATACTCTCAAGAACCGAAAAAAGAAAGTAAACAAGATCTTGTCACTTTGAAATTAAATATGAGCAAAGTGTATGATAGAAAAGATCACATTATGGACTTGGCAAAATCCAGTGTTCTCTATCATGCGCCAATATATATATTTTTCATTTTCCTTTATGTTTATGTTTTTTTCTATGCGCTCTTCAATATGGTATATCCAATTTTGCTAAATTTACAATGTTCATCTCTCCAAATTTCAACTCCGACGAGAGGTAATATATCTCAAATGTATATCAAGGGTACAAATTGTGAACAACCTAGCTTGGCTCTTATCTTAGCCTACCATCATCATTTTCTAGATCATGATAAGGAGAAGACTCGAGTTAGTTAAACAGGTCGTAGAAAGGAAGTACTAATTAAAAGTGTTGGCCAGACCATACCCACACATGCAAATGAGTTTTTTTTTTTTTTTTTTTTTGCTATGCATTGGAAACGGTTAAATGAAGTATTTTTCCATTAAAGACATTTAATTCTATAGGTTTTGTTATGTGAAATAATATTTGATATATTTATTATAAAATTTAAGACCACAAACATAGAGTCTTTCATTCCCACTCCATTTTCATTACATACCAAATTTTCAATAAATCTTCAATCGAGAATCACAAAAAAATCTCATTCTAACCCTTTCGTTTTTAAACAACTTTAGTACCCTAGTTTAAAATTTGTAATGATTTAGTCCAAAGTTTTTTTATAATATAGTCATTGTAGTTTAAAATATGTAACAACTTTATCCTTAAAAAAAAAGAAATTTTATTAAGTTATAAATTAGGAGGAAGATTTCTTGCATTGTATATATTAATAAATCATTGAAAACCAAATATATTTTTCAATTAAAGAAAACTATGCAATTGTTATAAACTAAACGTCGACTCTTCAACTTCACAAAAAGTTTCACATAGGAACTACATCGTTATTTCAATAAGAGTACGTATCCAAATAGGGAACACTTTACCAAAACTCAACCAAAATGTCGTAGGTTGGAATCTTCACCCATATACATGGTTAAAATTTTACTTTAAAATAATTTTAATTTTTATAAATATAAGGATAAAACTTGGCTCCTCACCAGAAACCTTGTCTTACCACCATTTGACAACTAAGATTCAATGTAAAAACAAAAATATATTTTTTAAAAATAATGAGTTGTCAAAAGGAGAAACATTGTCTTACCACCATTAAATATTTGACAATTAATGGAGAAAGATAAAAATAAAAATATCTTTTAAAAAATAATAAGTTGTGAAAGGTAATAAAGAGAAAGTTACTCCTAGTGAAGTTAAAGTTTTATCCTGAATACAATATAACAGTACATAATAATATAAATATAAATTTGATATTTTATAATATTATTATTATTTTTTTTGTGACAGAAGAAAAGCCCTAGAAAGTAGCAACTGCATTGCTACAACAAACAAAGCAACGTACGTAAAATTAAAAAATTTTCTCTCCCTCTCTCTCCTAAATCCCAAATAAGGCAATGCGAGAGAGAGAAAACAAAAGTACACAACGGAAAGGAGAGAGAAAATAGATAGATAGAGAGAGAGAGTCGCCATTACCAGATTTGCAGAAACGTGAAACAAACAGAGTTCAACTGAGGGAGAGAGAAGAAACGCGTCAATTTTCTTCAATCCGAGTTCTTCAATCCAATCCTAAACCAGTAGACCGAATTTCAGCTTTTAGCCATTTCTTTTTAATATAATCCGAATTTCAAATTTGAATCGCCGGATATCCCGAGAGAGCAAATTAAGCCGACTGATGAACAATTCGTAGATCCATTCATCCCTTCCCGCTCGCTTTCGTTTTTCCTCCAGATTCATCCATCAAGGTTCGTTCGTTCGTTCGCATTGCATTTCTTTCTTTTTGTTTCTTTTTCGATTCGATTATATTCGACTCCGATCATCGTCGTCGTCTGGTTCGAACTGCTCTGTTTTTCGATTTTGAGCGATTCCATTGGATCTAATTGCGGTTTTCGTCTCTCTGATTCTTCTTCATTCGAATGTATATATGGCATTGTTCATCACGAAATCATTCCGTAATCTGTTGTTATTCATTAATTAATTCTTATTCAACTGTTATTGCTTAGAGTGCTTTTTTGTTGCGTATCAGATTTGAGCGGAATGAATGTTTCGTTGCGTCAAGTTCGCTGGATTCACTCGCCTGGAAAAGGAGAGCGTCTCTGATTTGGTAATCTTAACAAACTTTTCAGATTTTTTTTTCTTTTATCATTTATTCTTTTTGAACTGCCACTTTAGCTTGGTTGATTGATTGAAAATCACTTGTCAAAAGTTTGTGGAGTGGAAGTGATTTTCTTTGTCTTTTTACAAACGTAGTAGAGGTGAGAGTTTTGTTATAATTCTATTAACTAGTTGTTGAACTGTGCTTTAAAGTCTCTGTGATTGTATATTGATGAATGAGAAAAAAGATGTATGTTAGAGAGAGAGAGATAAATTAGAGAAAAGAAAAGAGAGAAATTTTAGAGATTGAAAAGTTAGAGAGGAAAAATTATAAAGAGAAAAAATTTGAAAAATTCCTTTGTTTTACCAAGATATAATTTATAGTCCTGATTGTTCATGAAATTGTGAGAATTATGAATCCATATGTTCTGTTTATGTGATGTGCTCTATGTGTTTACTTAACATATTACTTGGATATTTTAATGCAAAAATTATGATTTTAATATTATTTATTTATTTTAGTTCAATAATCATTCGTATGAAACGATTGAGCTTATGGATAATAATAGATATCTTTATCCATTTGAACGTGTTAGAATTGATACTTGCTAAGGATTCAAACTTTGACATTTTTGGTAGAGGATATTCATTTGCCTCAAACTCAAACTTTGACTTTTTTGGTTGAGGATATTAATTTGTCTCAAACTCAGGATGAAATAATTAATTTGGGATACTTTCACTTTATGTTGGATCAATTTTTATGAGCATATATTAATGTTGGGAAATAATCCTCTTGAAAATAAAGAAATCCAGTAAGGACCTAACTAATTCCCCTTCCACAAGACAAAGCATATCATAGTTTAGTAATAACAAAAGAAAATACATGATAAGGATAGAAAAGTTTAACGGTTATATTGGTTTGCTTCAAACTCAGCATTATGTCTAATCTTCTGCATCTGTAGATTCTACTATGACATCAAGATTACAATGGACCTTTCTCTTGCTCAACAAAGCTTTCAAAGTACCATAAAAATTGCTATCTAGGTTTTTAAAGCACCAATAGAATGACTACTTAGACCTTTACAACGAATACCCTCACTAAACTCACATAGAAATGAGCCATCGTTAAAGCTCTAAGCCTTTTCGTTTCACCTATCGTCACCCAACATTTAAGGACTTGTTCTCAATAAAGAAAAAAACCTAATAGAAAACGATACTTTTATACGTAATGTTGCAACGTTGAGACACTACGAAGTGTAGCATCCGCCTCAAGTTTGTTTCATGCGCTTTCTCCTCCTTGGGTGTAGAGGTAGCATTTGTAGCATCTCTAGATTTTCACTCTTGCCAACGTCTTAATGTTGTCTTCTCGGGTCTGTTGACTTTAAAGTCTGGTTTTAGCTCCACAAATCCAACGATCTCTCACTTGGAGATAAAACACCTATTTTGCCTCTCATTGAGCAACAACAGTCTCTATTTTTCTTAGTAGCACCGAGTTTTCACTCTCACTATGACAACACAGCCTCTAATTTTCTTGGTAAGCTCCAAGGTTCTTGCCGCAACAATCTTTTTTCTTCTTGGAAACTCTCTAAGGTTCCTCCTGCAAATTTTTCCAACTTGTAAAAACAAAATATCATAAAACTAATTATTGCATCTTGAGGTTGGGCAACCTACGTAATCTTCTAGACACAATGGATAGTCACGTACTCCCACTCACATTGAGTGGCGACGTTCCACTCTTTTTTTATTGCAATCAACGATTCTGGAAAAATGAAGTTCCTTCCACTGGCTTGACTACTGCGCTCAAGCCGGTCGCCAAGATTGAGACTTCATTCTTTACCTCAATACCTATTTCGATTTTCTGTTTTGATACCTTTCGCTTAAGTGACTTCATTAATTCGCTTATCCATCTGATAACTGGGTCTATAAACTGATAACCTACTGAATGCTTCGTCTTTCTCTAACTTCCCTAGTACTTGAATTAATGCATGTGGATATACCTTATCTATCATGTTGTCAATTGCCTTGTAACCTCATTGGCTTGGATTCGTCTCCATCTCTACTCTCTTCCCTTTTTTAGGAAATGTTCTAATCAATGCGCCACCTCTCCAGATCAAGACTTTTGTTGTTGGTTCTATCCTACTTCCTTGTAAACTATCAACAACTTTGCATCTACTATCTCACTAATCCTTAAGCAACATTCAATCTCGATATATATAATGTAGATCTTTTGTAGCTATCTGCAACTAACTTGGATCTTTCTAGTGAGTTTTCACAAGTTACAACCAAACTCACTTCGATAACCATCATTATTTAACTTAGTTGTATAGGAAAGATTCATCTTAATACTAGGCACATACGTGACATTTGTAGGAATAACTCATTTCCACTATCCGTCTTCAAATGAATATTTCCAATGTCTTTCATCTTGGAAGGCAACGAAGGATGTGAACCACCTCTGTCTGAAGATACGTGCATGTAAGTTGCATTAGTTGTCAATCACCCATTATGATGAGTGGTCTTATGCTTTGCGTTATCTCCAGCATAAAACGGGCATTATAACTACATTTGCCTCAAGCTTTTTCAAATCCTCCTTCAACTTTCTACGTTGCATCTTCAAGCGATCATTATTACGGTAGTAATAATATTGGATCTCTCTATTCTTATTCCTTTCTGCTATTTCTTTATTGTTTATCATCAAATTCAACTTTTTCTTCGCCCTTTTGAACAACCAAAGGTGAGCAAGATGTGAATATTTTTCACTTTCCTTCTTACGAATTTTCTCAAGTGCCACATCACGTATTTATGAAAATTTTTGTCAACAATATTATAGCATTTATCTCGTCACTAGAAGTAATCTTAAGACAAGCTTAATTGAATGATTAAATTTGTCACCTCATTAACATGAGAACTCACATACGCATTTTCATCCATTTGAATGTTTAAAAATTTCCTTACAAGATATAACTTATTTTTAGCAAAGGGTTTTCCGTACCTACTCGTCCGCATTTTCATCAAATCTATTGCAGTTGTCTCATTTGCCACGAGACTAGTCATCATGTTTATTAATAGACACAGTTTGATGAGAACTACTGTATGTTCATACTTTGCTTCTCAGTCTTCATCTCTCATCCTTTTTGGTCATTCCTTCAAAGTTTTGGGCACCTTTTTGTAAGTCAAGTAACCCTTATTATGTATCTTCCAATATCCAAAGTTTGCCCCGCTGAATTTGGTAATTCCTTCAAAACTTAACTATTTTGCAAATCCCAGGATAGAAACCAAAAACTCTAATAGTAGTTGTTGGAAAATAATCCTCTTGAAAATAGAGCAATCCAATTAAGACTTAACTAATTCTTTTCCCGCATGATGAATCAGATCATAGCTTAGTAATAACAAAAGAAAATACTACATAGGAATATAAAAGCTCAACACTGGAGTTTACACTAGTTTGTTCCAAACTCGGGACTGCATCTAATTTTCTACAACTGCAAGTTCTATTATGATTTGAAGATTACAACATATTCCATTCTTACTCCACAAAGCTCACAAGGTACCACAACAATGGCTATGTAGGCTTTTACAACGAATACCCTCGCTAAACCCAGATAGAACGGGCTGTGTCCTCAGAGCTCTACAACCTTCTCCTCTCTTTTATGGACACTCAACATTTCAAGGATTTCTCAGTAAAAAAAAAAAAAACCAGCGTAAAACGATACTTTTATAAGAAAGTATTATAGCATCGTGACGCTATGAAGTGTAGCGTCTGCTTCAAGTTATTTCGTGCATGTTGGCCTTTTTGGATTGTTGCAGTAATGTTGTGATGATACAACCCGCGTCTCAATGCTACAAACATGTAGTGTCTCTTGATTTTGCCTCGCACTACTGTTTTGATGCTATCCTTTTTGAGTCCATTGCCTTAAGCCTTGAAGCCTTTTTGGCTCCACAAATTAACCCAACAAGTAATAGGATTGTTCATAATTTATGTTTGTCTAACAATATTTTGGAGATTAAAGTGGATGTGTAATACTTAATATATCAAAACGTGGGAATAAAAAATTTAATATTGCACTTTAAATGTAAAGAGTATTATTCGAATATGCATTTGAAATATAGACTTGACACATATTGTAGTGGTTCCGAATTCTTCAACATTTTTTTATCCTCTAACATATTAAAAAAATTGTATAAAACGCCACCAAACATAAAATTACTCAAGTCAAACACACTTAATTTTAAAAATCTTATGAATAAGAAGCTGAGAATAGAAAGTCCATATAGTAACTATTCTGGATCTCTCATTCTCTTTGGTAATTTCTACTGAGACATCACAATATTAGTCACAAGGTAGGTTTTTGTTTGTACAAATTGGAGGTTTTTTTGTTTTGTTTTTTTTACATTTCATAGCTTGCAACCGGGCCTACCACTATCCTTGCGGTTAAGAGTCATCTTGTTGTCGAAGTGAATTGAGAATTGCTTCAAATGTTGTCCAAAGATTCCCATGAAGCTTCAATTTTCAAGCGAGAATTAATATTCATTCAATTCATTAAAAACTAATGTGAAGCGTCAACTTGAGTATAAGAACGGGTCAAGACATAAAATAACCTTTTGTGAGGTAAGATATTGAAATCCCCACCTCATACACTGGGGTGATAAACTCAAATAATAATAATAATAGAAGGAACTCCCCTCCTAAAGATTCAGGAGGAACTTCCTCCTGAATCTTCAGGAGGGAAGTTTTATCCATAATATTAATATAAAGCTATGGGTAAAAATTTTTATTTTATTATTTTATATTTTTCTAGGTCAAAGTTCAACGGTAATTGACATATACCTCAAATTAAAGATTTTGAGTTCGATCTCTCACCTCAAATGTTGTATTAAGAAAAAAAATAATTAAGTCACGTGTGAGCCTCTTCTGACTTGAAAATTATTTTATATTTGTTTAGTACAATAGATAAATAAACGTGCATATAAGAATTTCAACCAAACGATTTAGGAGACCACTTTTTTGTTTCTTTTTCAAGGCTGAGAACTATTGCTTCTGGGCCTAATTAGAAATGGCAAAATTTGGTTCAAAAAATTTTGTCGAAAATGTATGTTTTATTTAGGGAAGAAAAAGGAAACTATTCTTATTTCCGTATCATGAAGAGTTTGTTTGATGTGCAGAATTTGGTAGGGCGTGATTTATTAATTTACGGAACAGTTAGCGAGGTGGTCGATGAGCAGTTTGGGATGATGTGCAGAATCCAGTTGCTGTTCATTAATGGGCCATCCTGAAAATAAACTCTCCGACCTGGTCGGCCTCGTGAAGTCATGGATGCCATGGCGGTCCGACCCGGCAAACGTCTCCAGGGACTTCTGGATGCCCGACAAGAGCTGCAGAGTTTGCTACGAATGCGACTCTCAGTTCACCTTTATCAACCGCCGCCACCATTGCCGTCGCTGTGGCCGAGTTTTCTGCTCCAAGTGCACTGCAAACTTCATTCCTGCTCCACCCATTGACACCGCCAATGCTCGGGACGATTCCGACAAGATCAGGGTCTGTAATTTCTGCTTCAAACAGTGGGGGAAGGAGCCATCCGCCGCCCAAGATGGGGACAATGCTACCAGCTCTGCTCTCAGTCTCTCCAGTTCCTCCTCCAGCATGAGTAGCACCAAGTCCGGCTACACCTGTCACAGTGCAATCAGCAACATCGCTTCCACTCCTTGCTCCACTGATCGTCGGTACTATGACCCATTTTGTTCTGGTGGCATCTCGGACGAGCAAGACAGTTCAATCAATGGGAAGAGCATAAATCGTGCTTCGTCTATGATGACTACGTCATCTAGTTTTTATGGCTATTACAGGTATTCCTCTTTAATTGTGCATACAGACCATGATACATATTTCTCTATTGATACATATTTCTCTATCATTTTATTGGAACTGATGTTTCTATTCGGATCATGGTTAATTGTTAATGCTTCCATACTTTAGTTATTTATTTGATGTTGTATTTTGTCTTTTAGGAGTGATGATGAGGATGATGATTATTATTATGGAATGTATCGCTCAGATTCAGAATCGAGGCACATTTCCCAGTCTGATGATTATTATTGTGCTGTAAACCCTGATGAGATGGACCGCATTGCAGCACAGAGTTTAAATCTTGATAGAGAAAACACCAGCACAAAGGGTTCACCAGAGATTTTTGAAACTCAGCGTCCTGGGATTAATGAGAAATCTAGTGAAGACTCTGATGAAAATGATAAAGGGTCAGAGTGTGACTTTCCTACTTATGCCATGCAGAATAAGGATAATGAACCTGTGGATTTCCAGAACAATGGGATTCTCTGGCTTCCTCCAGAACCAGAAGATGAAGAGGATGAGAAAGCCCTTTTATTTGATGATGATGACGATTCATGTGCTCCAGGTGAATGGGGATACCTACCTTCTTCCTTAGCCGGTGGGGAATGCCCCATGAAAGGAAGGTCAAGCGAGGAGTACAGGAAAACTGCGAAAAACGTAGTAGAAGGGCATTTTAGAGCTCTGGTTGGTCAACTTTTGGAGGCTGAAAATCTTCCGTTAGGTGACGAACCCGACAAAGATGGTTGGCTAGATATAATAACATATCTGTCCTGGGAAGCAGCCACAGTTCTGAAGCCAGATACAAGCAAGAGTGGGGGTATGGATCCTGGTGGATATGTTAAGGTTAAATGCGTTGCTGGTGGGAAATGTAGTGAGAGGTAAGGTAACTCCAGGCTACTAAGGTCCATGTAAGTTATATTGTATTGATATAGGAATGTCAATTAATTTGTAGAAGATTGACTCAATATTTGACTGAAGGATCAGGTCAGGTTTATATTCTAGCAAGTCGGTGCTCATTTTATGCAGTCGTAGAATTCTTTTTCTTGTGGAGCTATATTTCTCCCTAGGTTGTGATCGTGGTTGAATATCACACTGCTTTAAGCATGTGATGACTGTATGTTAGAGATGGCAAATTAGCATGCTGTTGTGGTGTTATTGTAATTTTTTTCTGATCGTGCTAAAATAATTCTTCACATGCTTTCTTAATTTCCATGTACATTTTCTAACTATTGGTAAAGAAAAAGGCTCTTTTCGGGTTTCAAGAGGAAAAAGTAAAAGAACATACATTTTCTGATTTATTATGTTTTGCAAATTCTCGCATGTTATCTTTGCACTTGGGGCATGACGTAGCCATTGAGATTCTAACCGAGGTGCTGTCTATTGCTGGTTAAGTTTTCTCATGGTTTTTAGAGAGAATGTACTATGAAATTTTAGAGAATCAATTGGTATCATATTGTCCTTTATTTTGAAATGTTAACAAGATTCAACCTAATTAGTGCAGAATTGCTAATACATTTTGTTTTACCACGTTGTATGACTACATATTGCATGTTCTTTTCTCTTTGGAGTTAGGTTATTGTGTTATTGTAAGGGTTTGTGGTGTGATACGACTTTAATTATTTTGCAGTATTGTTGTTAAAGGAGTCATTTGTAAGAAAAATGTAGCACACAGGCGGATGACAAGAACAATATCTAAACCACGCTTTTTTGTTCTTGGGGGAGCTTTGGAGTATCAACGTGTTACCAATCACTTGTCAAGTTTTGATACGTTGTTGCAGCAGGTTTCAAACTGTTTACCCTTTATCCTTTTCATTAGGTTTGTATGTTGAAGTTTTATTCTGTAGATTTCTTGTACTTCAACCCCTATGTCCTGTAGATGTACTTGCGGTCACTAATAATGAAGTTATGACATTTGTTATGCTCCTATTCTTCATGGGTTCCTTGTATGTATCTCCAGGAACTTGACCATTTGAAGATGGCTGTTGCTAAGATTGACGCTCATCATCCAAATGTTCTTTTGGTAGAGAAATCAGTGTCTCGCCATGCTCAGGAGTACCTTCTCTCAAAAAATATCACTCTAGTTCTAAATATTAAAAGATCACTTTTAGAACGTATTGCTTGCTGCACTGGGGCAAATATAGTTCCTTCTGTCGATCATGTTGCATCTCTGAAACTTGGTTATTGCGATGCATTTCGTGTGGAGACATTTGTTGAAGAGCATGATGGTGTTGATGGTCAAGCTGGCAAGAAGTTCGCAAAGACTCTGATGTTCTTTGAGGGATGTCCAAAGCCTCTGTGTTGTACTGTAAGTCTATGTTACCAACAACGAGAAATGGCATTTATAATGATAGACAACATATCAATCATGCTCATAATATTTTATTTTATTTTTTTATGAGAAAAAAATATCAGTCCAGATAGGACATATTTTTCCATTTTGCTCAGCAATGTACCCAAGTCAGATCAAGAAAAATGGGATTTAAATTCTTTCTGAAATTTCTCTAAAACTATATTGTTGTAATTTCAAATCCTGCATTATACAAATCCTTTAGAATAGATACACTGTCTTAAATATCTTGTTTGGAAAGACTAGTACGTTGGTATTGCTTGCATTTCACTTGGGACATATTTGAAGTAATTTTTGTTTGGATTCACAGATTCAGTGTATGGGATACGGTGATATCGATTCTAAATTTTTTAGTGTAGTCATCAATTAGTTGAGAGTCATCATAGGATGTGGCAAATTGGCATGGTACTACGAATCTACAGTAGACTTTTTCTATGGAACTAGCCAATGCTTTCCTGTCATGTTTCCTGAAAAAACTTATTAGATATAACCATCATAAATTGTTTCTTATCCAAGTAAAAAAAGATATAACCATCGGAATTAATGGGTTCATATTATTTTTCTTTCAGATTTTGCTCAGGGGTGCCAGTGGGGATGAGCTTAAAAAAGTTAAACATGTTGTTCAATATGCAACTTTTGCTGCCTATCACCTGGCTCTAGAAACATGCTTTCTGGCTGATGAAGGTGCTTCAGTTCCAGAGCTCCCATTGAAGTCCCCAATAACAGTCGCTCTTCCTCATAATCCATCAAGTATAGACAGGTCCATCTCCGCTATACCTGGCTTTACTGGCCCATCTCCAGCTAAGTCTCCCGAGCCTGAACCCAGCATGGAAATTTGGCAATGTGGAAAAGATGCTGTTCTGACTAGACAATCATCTATAGGTTGTCCCAATGTCATCAAATCCAACAGTTTAGAGCCGACCTTAAGGCCATTAAAGTCCAACGCTACCTCCACTTCCTTGTCTTCTTTCGATCAGGATGTTTCTATTGCCTACAATTATATGCTTTCCTCTAAATTCGCCTCTGAGGCAAGTAGAAGTCTGGACATCAAAGAATGTTCTATGGGCATGATGGCAATCAAGGAAGAAGCAGGGGCAGATGATGATACAAGTTCTGGAATTGGTGAGACTTTGAGTCAAGGTGGTAACTCTAGTTATATAAGCAGCAATTCATTGGATGGAACTATCCAAAGTTATATTGATTTAGCATGTCTAAAACCTGAAAGCACTAGTTCTAATCTAGTGACTAAATCTTCGAGGGAAGACTTCCCCTTATCACCTTCTGACCAACAAAACATTTTGGTGTCTTTGTCCACACGTTGTGTGTGGAAGGGAACTATTTGCGATCGTGCTCATCTCTTACGAATTAAATACTATGGAAGCTTTGACAAGCCTCTGGGTCGGTTTTTACGAGATCATTTGTTTGATCAGGTAATGGAAGAATTTGTTTTCTTATCCGAAAGCATTATCGTAATTAACTTTCCTCTTCTTGCAGAATTATCGATGTCATTCATGTGGTATGCCCTCCGAGGCACATGTTCATTGTTATACGCATCCGCAAGGCAGCCTTACAATATCTGCCAAGAAGCTACCTGATTTTTTCTTACCGGGGGAACCTGAAGGTAAAATTTGGATGTGGCATCGGTGTCTGAAGTGCCCTCGGACCAATGGCTTCCCACCAGCCACTAGGAGAGTTATTATGTCTGATGCTGCCTGGGGTTTATCTTTTGGTAAATTTTTGGAGTTAAGCTTTTCAAATAATGCAGCTGCCAGCCGTGTTGCAGGTTGTGGCCATTTCCTTCATAGAGACTGTCTCCGGTTCTATGGGTACGAATTTCTTCATAATTTTACTTCTCCAGCAATGAAGTTTGATTGTCATTGGTCTGTTCTGAGCATGACAGGAATGTCCAATTACTTTTTTCACCTATTAACTAGTTTACTTTATATCTGATTTTAAATTTCCTAAACGTTGCCTACATTTATGTATATTTACAATTCAGTATCGAGATGGAAATGACAGAAGGCCCACAACTTTAAAAGGTGGAGAGAGAGATGCTTTGGATGGTTGGATTAAACTTGTTACTGCATTACCATCAATGTGGTGATGGGGCTGCTAGAACTGACGAGTTTTTATGATTTTTTAATTTTATTTGAGACAAGAAATTTCTATTTTTGAAATTGCAAACGTTACACATAAAATAGTTGAGGGATTTTTGTGAATAATAATAATCAAGAAAATCTTCACTAAAGAATCAGTTTTGTCATAATAATTAACAAAAGAGATTATATTATTGCCTTTCAAATAATGCATTACTCACTACGAACATAAAAATTCTCAATTTTCTTAGAACTGTAACCACAAGTGCTTAGATATGGCCAACATAAGTTCTGGGTTTAAAAGCTCAAGACTTGCATTTCTTGATATATAATCTCAAAATTTTGTTGTCATCAATTTCAATTCTTTGGATGCTATAATTTGGATACATACAACCCCCCTTCATTTATTTTTTCTTTTTCTTTTTATTATTATTGTGGCAGCTGGGGGGTTATTCCTTGTATGTTTCTCAAATTGTTTTTGCACAGGAGTAAGGTAATGTAGACTTCCATTGTCAATCTATTTTAGAAAGCACAAGTGCCAAAAATCTCTTGTTAGTCTGTTGAAATGTCAACATAGAAATCCTTAAAAAGATATTGCAATCTAAAAGATGCATATTTCTGAAGATTTAGCAGAATATATTGACCACCTGTCGGACTGTTCCTTTGGTACAAAACTTGAAAGTTTGGTAGACTTCTTAATATTCTTCTATGTGGTTTAGGATCCTCATGTGTCACATTCTGCGACCTGATCCTCAGTTACAGGGGAGTTTTACCATTTACTTTTGTGTTTAATTCTGACAAATTGCAACCTCACATATGTAATTTATTTTGCCTTTGGATTAGACACTTGACACTTGTTTGATTCTTCCATTGATTGGAATGGAAGTTTTTATTTATTTATATTTCCTACTAAAAAAAGGGCAAAAAAGACCATCCTTATGTTTCTATCTTTTACATGTGCAGGTTTGGAAGAACGGTTGCTTGTTTCCACTATGCAGCAATTAATGTTCAGTCTGTTCATCTCCCCCCATCCATACTTGAATTTTACCATAATAATCTGGACTGGATAAATAAGGAAGCAACTGAGGTGCAACAACCTTGAATTCAACTTAAAGTGAATTCTTAAAGCCACTGATCCTAAATTTTGTAAGACTAATGAGTTCTCGTCTCTTCTACTAGGTACATAACAGGGCTGAAATTATATTTGCTGGAGTATGTAAAGCTCTTCCTCAGATTTCAAAGAATGAATCTGGCATAGAGCAAGAAGATTTGGGGGTAAATGAATTGAACCAATATATTCAAGAACTAGAACAGATCATTAGTATGGAGAAAGAAGATTTTGAGGTAGGTTTTTGGATTGAGATTTTATCTATAATTATATCTTAATTTTGAAATTGATGATGAAAACATTGTGCTGGTTTTGTGAAGGCATATTATTCAGTGATATCTGCTGAAACTTCATATGCATTTACACGCATTTAATGGTTTGATGCACTTGGGGAAGAAAAACATGTATGAATATGGTTCACTAATTATATCTGCTGTATTAAACACCTTATGTGCCCATATGTGACAAAAGATGGTTACTGTCCCAATTTTTTAGATAAACAAACAATTTTCCTACCATGTAATATGGATTATTATAGGCTGATTATGTTTCTAGGTTGTAATTTTTCCGCATTGTTTAGATGTGGGGAAGGAAGCTTTAAGCCTTGGTTCGTATTATTTATATTATCAAATTGTTTTAGGTGCATCTTAAGGAAGTACTGTCTGGAGAGACAAGAGTTTACCAACCCGCAGTTGATATTCTTGAGATCAATAAACTACATATGCATGTTCTTTATCTTTCATACATTTGGGTTCAGCGCCTAAGTTTCGCGGCCACCTTGAGAAACAAAAATTCCCAAGATAGTTTGAGCAATGACATCCCGAGACTTGATTCAGTGGAAGAGTTGGTGGCAGCATTGAATCTGGCATCCGGACAAGATGAATTCTTTGTTGGTTGTGATAATGATTCTTTACCTTCAGATTCAAAGCATGAGATTGATCTTGGCAAAGGAGGAAATTCAGTCCAAATTAACCAGTCGAATGAAATGGAGAGTGAAAAACATATGGACCTTGGTGGCCAGGAGGATGAGTTTTGTCTTTCTCGAGTTGATTCTGAGCCTCTAGGTGTTGGAATTACCATAGAAAGGGCAATTTCAGTGGGAGAATATCCAATTATGTCCGATCTATCCGACACCCTTGATGCAGTTTGGAAAGGTGCAGTTCACCCAAATAGCGGAACATCTGAGGAGAGTAATGATTCTCGAACTAATTCAGGCATTCTGGAGCCATTGGCAGGACAATCTGATATGGAGAAGTGTACTGCGAACTTAGTTGGAGTAGAGGCAGCTCAACTTCTTCATTCTGCCTTGGTTTTAAGAAGTGTTGATTCCATTGAGACATCAATGTCGATGCCTTCTTCAGCATATAATACAAAGATTTCGTTGTTGAATGTCCCAAAGCCTGAATTTTCTGATTATGATCCTGCCTTCATTTCATCGTTTAGGGAGTTAGAAAAGCAAGGGCATCTTCGGTTTCTTATGCATGTTGGTGTGAATGATACCATTATTCCTGTCTATGATGACGAGCCCACTAGTATTGTTGCGTATTCATTGGTTATTCCAGAGTATCATGCTCAGATGTCTGAGCCAGAGAGAGTAATGGAAGCTGGGGATACTGCACGCTCTTTGCCTCTTCTTGATTCTGCTACTACAGAATCGCTCAGATCTTTTGATCAAACAGTTTCAGATACCTACAAAAGTCTTAGTTCTAATGAAGAGACCATGTTAGAACGAACACAAAGTATTCAGTTCGAGGATCTACTATTGTACACAAAGGATTTGCATACAAGAGTTTCTTTTGTAAAGGAGAGTCCTTTGGGGCAGGTGAAATACACCATAACTTGCTATTTTGCAAAGCGGTTTGAGGCGTTAAGAAAAAAGTGTTGCCCTTCAGAGTTAGATTATGTAAGGTCTCTTAGCCGTTGCAAGAGATGGGGAGCCCAAGGTGGCAAAAGCAACGTTTTCTTTGCAAAAACTTTAGATGAGCGATTTATTATCAAACAAGTGACAAAAATAGAGTTGGAATCATTCATTCAGTTCGGACCCTCTTATTTTAAATATTTGTCTGAAGCAATCCGTACAGGTTGCCCAACATGCTTGGCAAAGGTCGTGGGGATGTATCAGGTACGATATTTGAAATTTTTATTATTATTTTTTTTTTGGAGTTGGTGGTGAACCCCCTCTGGAATGAAGAAAGTTTTAAGTTTATGAAAGGATTTTAAATTACTTGATCTTGAAAAGTACAAATGATATAATATAGCCTTTCTTGATATATCCTAATTTGTTTGATGAGGATAGATTTATAATTACTATTGTAATCCTACAAAACTGACCATTTCAATCCTGAAAATTTTTCTAGTAAATATAGGTTTGAAATCACATTTGATTTCATTTATTTTTTATTTTAAAAGATACCAAATAAAAGAATTCATTTCAAATCTATTATGATTTAAAATTTATTTAAATCATATGGAAACAAACATCTTGAACTTTGTGAGTAATTATTTTCTTGGGTTTGTTTTCATTGTCTCGAAGGTGTCCTCAAAACATCTAAAGGGAGGAAAAGAATCCAAGACTGACGTTTTAGTCATGGAGAATCTTCTTTTTAGGCATAATGTGACACGACTTTATGATCTAAAAGGATCTTCTCGATCACGCTATAATTCAGACACAAGCGGAAAAAATAAAGTTCTTCTGGATCAGAATCTGATTGAATCTATGCCAACCTGTCCAATATTTTTAGGCAGCAAGGCAAAGCGGTTGCTAGAAAGAGCTGTTTGGAATGATACGTCATTCTTAGCTGTAAGTTTAATTTATCTTCTTTGTGTCATCACACTTCAGTTTTCAAGTCTTGATGTTCTCAACTGCGTTTTTTTATTCAATTTAAGTCTTGGGTATAAATCTGTTTGACATGTCAAACGTCTTTAGAGTTTCTTACTACTAAATATTGTATATGAATTAGAATCTCTATTCTAGTATGATATCTAGTTGAAAGATGGTTATTTGCTATACATACACACAATGCCAGTACTATAGTAGACTTGTAAAATTCAACTTTAATAAATACTAGTTACAGGTAGAGATTATCCATATTAAGGATGAGCATTTTAATTCCAAGATTAAATTACAGAACACTCAACGTCATGGACAGAATTTAACAGTTCCTGTTCTTTGTAATTTATTTTATTCCTTATTATAATTGGATACCCTGTAGAGATCTTGTTTCAGATTATGACAGCTCCAGCATTTCTAAAACCTGGAACCTTTTAAACATGGTTCTAAAAATACTTTTAGGTGTTTCACTCACAGATTAATTCAGTATTGTTCCGGACTGAAAAACTATGTCTATGTTTGGTAGGTGCATTTACTATTTTGGGTATGAAATTCATATCATTCAAACACATATTTTCACAAGTTAAAGGTTTCAAAGACTTCATAAACTTAGACTTATTAAATCACAAGCCAAACATCGTCTCAGCTATTATCCATTTTGCTTATGGATATGTTCTTATGTGTTTATATGCCTGACAATATTATCTCAAATTGCTGCTACAGTCAATTGACGTCATGGACTACTCACTATTGGTTGGATTGGATGAGGAAAAGCAAGAGCTGGTTGTGGGGATTATTGATTTTATGAGGCAATATACTTGGGATAAGCATCTTGAAACTTGGGTGAAGAACTCAGGCATTCTTGGCGGGCCCAAGAATGCTTCTCCTACTGTGATCTCACCTCATCAATACAAGAAACGTTTCAGGAAAGCTATGACTACATATTTTCTTATGGTTCCAGATCAGTGGCCCTCCTCAACAGTCAGCCCTAGCGAGTCCCACCCCGATCTCTGCGACGAGAATTCGGAACATGATAGTTCGTGGGATTGGTAAGTTTGCAAATCTTTTGAAGATAGGTGAAAACGATTGGGGTACAAATTTTCTGCATTTTTGAGTTATTTTCCAGTCTTTGGACAACATTTGATTAATGGTTTGAACTACTACTAAACTAATTTTTTTAAAAAGGCAAAGTCAAGGATGTTATTTTCTGATAGGGTAGACAGTACTAACTTCTAGGCTATATGTTGGGGTGCTTTTAGCCCTTTTAGTCCTTTTAGTAGGGTTAAAAGCATTTTTGGTACGGTCAAAATTACTTCTCATTTGGAATGGTGGTTTATTATTGCATAGGTTTTATTTATGTGCATATATAGTATTTTTTTTTTTGTTATTTATGTGCATATATAGTACTTTTTTTTGTGTAAAAGCACTCTCAAACATACCTTAGGTTTATCAAATGATTTTTTTTGTGATTACTAAGTTGGTTATAATGCATTTCCACATAAATATTATATGTGCATTTGCCACGTAAGCTTTGTATTTACACATAAATATTATATGTGCATTTTGCCATTTCTTTTACCATGTAATTTAGATGAATGATCTGATTATTGTTATAAAAATGCTTGTATTTGAGCGTCAGTCTTTAAGGATTTTTGTATTTACCATCTAAGTTTTATTATTTTGAACGGGAGCCCTTTTTTGTATAGTTAGCTCCGCACTTTTTTTCTGGACGGTCTTTTTGTATGCCATCAAGCTTTTTTATTTTTTATTTTTATTCTTTCATTTTTTTTTTGATGAATGCTCGGTTTCTCAAACAAAAAAAAAAAGACTAATAACGATACGGGAGTATAATTTTCGAGTAGACTTTTTCTAACAAAATGTTTGTTTGTCTTCAGCAAACATTTTTGTGAACACAGTGATGGATGAGAAGGGAAAACAGACTGTCATTTTGTGTAGTATTACTTGCTTGGGGAAAAGTAAACATGTCGCAACGAATGGAGCCCCAATAAGCCTCTACATGGAAGCCATGTCGAAAAAGACGACATCAATAGTCCCACTTGAGATGAAATTTGAACCCATGCTTCGACCTCGACTAAACAATGGGGAACTTATCACTTTAGTGATGCGCTTCTCTCCTCCCCTCTTTCTTTCCGTAAAGCCGAGCCTGCAGTAGCAGGAAAAATGGCTTTACTTGGGGAGGAAGGATAGCTCTTACAATAACATGACAGACTTTGTTGTAGAAGCATGAACCATGGCTTAACTTGAGGTTCTACAAAGATTGCCGAACCATCTACCTGTGAAACGACTTGATTTGTGATTGACCATGGCCATGCTAAACTACGATCATGACATATGATCCGAAGGCGTTGCTCTTGTGAATAGTAGTAAGAAATAGTAAGTTATTCTTGTAACTCTTTTTTCTTGTTTGGGTATGCCCTTTAGATGATGAGTGTCTTTACCTTACCTCATCTGCCAAACTTTTGGAGACTCATGGAGAACTTTGCTGGATACATTTGTCGAGCAGAAAGCTCTCCCTCCTGAGAAATACGACGTTTTGTAGAGGGCAGTAGCGTTGTCGATTATCAGGAGAGCAGACCTATATATAATGTAAATGACTCCCAATGATTCATTTCAACCAAGATGATCAAATAAGCTAGTAAGATTGTTTTTGAGACTTCTATCATATTATTGGTGTTCAGGGATACAATATATCATAGACAGATGAAATCTGAAATGTTTACAAATGGTATTCTTTTAGGTGATTGTGTGCTAAATTCTTGTAATTTTCTCGAAGAATATTTTCTTATGTGGGGGTGAGAGATTGAACCTTTAATATCAAAGAAGGTATAGGTGTCTTGACCATCGAGTTAGTAATAGGTTGGCAATATGAATAACCTTCTAATTCAGACTTAAGTACGGATTTGTTCAAAATGCTATATTTTTAATTTCTTGGTTTAAATCTTATTTTATTTTTGAACTTGAGAATATTTCATTTTTTTAAACTTAACTTTTTTAAATTGTCTGTTTAGATAAACTTTTTAAGTTTAATTTTTATTTTTATTCTTAAACTTTTAAAATATCTATTTTAATTCTTAAAATTTTAAAATCAATATTTTCACGTTAGCTAATAAAAGCATTGGGTGGATATATTTGGTAGTAGAATAATCTACCTAGGGATCAAAATAATTATTTTTCTTGAAAAAAAATATTAAAATATTATTTTGATTCTTGTACTTTCAAAATATTCATTTTGGTACTTGCACTTTAACTTTTGTTAATTTTAGACCTTAAATGTCTATATATATTCTAGTATAACATGTTAGACTCAAGCGATTGTACCTACCAGGAAGGTAGGATGCTATCCTGCTTGGGGTGGGGGATCGAACGGACAACCCTCTTGGTATGTCAATTATTGTTGAGCTATACTTGCTTTGACGGTTAACCTTGTATATTTATCTATATGTATTATTGAGTGAATGATAATAGAATTATATGATTAACCTTAGTTTTTATATGGTAAACGAGAAAAACACCTTTTTATTGAATGTGATCCAATAGCTTCCTAATACAAAAGGAGCTATTTAATTATCTAATATCAATTAACAATTTAATAAAACTAATTAACCCATCAACTTAACTAAATGTTAACTAAACTAGATTAGTTATCTAATATATAATCCTACATCAGCTACCATTTTATATTTTATATTAGAAAAGAAGAAAAATACGGTCAAATGTATGTTGCTTTTGCTTTAATTATCTTTGTAGAGTTGTCAAAGGAAGACTCCAAGAAGTGTTAAAATAATTTTAGAAACTGGATCTTATAAGTGAAAAGAATAATGTCAAGTGCAACTATTTTGTGGTATGGCTCCATATGAACAAGGCTACACAATGTAGTAGCTGTTGTAAAATTGAAGAGAGAAACAAAGTACCACGAGTATACGAACAACATGACCAAAACGGAAAAAATGACAAATTGTAAAATTGAAATCACAAATAAAATGTAAATTTAGAAATAACAAGGAAATTCCTTCAAATTTTCTATATATTTGAAAACCATGAATTGACTATATTTATAGGCAATGTAAATAACCATGATGTGTACTATTTGGACACCAAGCATGGATGTGATGGTGACACATGGAGAACATGATCAACAAACAGGTGGTCTTTGAATCGGCATCTACGATATTAGTTTTATAATGCTCCCCTTAGATGCCCATTATATATATGATATATGCCTCATTAAAACCTTGCTAGAAAAAAACCCAATAAGAAAAAAAAACCTAGCAAAGGAAAAAGAGTACATATTTCATATACTTTAATAAACCCAAAAGAATAATATATTTGCTCCCCTTATGGAAACATCATTTAAGATCTCTAAGTCATCGCGTTCCAATGTTGTGCATCAATATTTCAAATGTTGTAGTCGGCAAAGCTTTGTAAATAAATCTGTCAGATTATCTCTTGAGCAAAATTTGTTGTGTGGTGATGTCGCCATTTTCTTCCAGATCATGAGTGTAGAAAAGCTTTGGTGAAAGATGCTTTGTTCTATCCCCTTTAATATATCCTCATTTGATTTGAGCTATACATGCTGTGTTGTATTCATATAATATTGTTGGAAGACTTTTACTAGAAGACAAGCCACATGTTCCACGAATGTGTAGAGTCATTGATGTTAGCCATACACATTCTCGACTAGCCTCATGAATTGCAAGAATTTCAACATGATTTGAAGAGGTGGTTGTTATGGTCTGTTTCACTAATCACCATGATGTAGCAGTTTCTCCACATGTGAATAAATAACCTGTTTGAGATCTAGCTTTGTGTAAGATCAAAATTTGTTTTGTTTGAATAAAATAAACCCATATCAATTGTTCCTCGAAGATAACGGAGTATATGTTTAACTCCATTCCAATGTCTTTTTGTTGGAGAAGAACTATATCTAGCTAATAAATTTATTGAAAATGCTATATCTGGACTTTTATTATTAGTAAGATATAGAAGTGTACCAATTGCACTAAGATATGGTACTTCAGAACCAAGAAGCTCTTCATTATCTTCTCGAGTTCGAAATATATCTTTCTTCACTAAGAAATGTTCAATGGATGTGCTTTGTCCATATAAAATATTTTTAAAATTTTTTCTGTATAAGTTGACCGATGAACAAATATCTCATCTGCTAAATGCTCAATTTGCAAGCCAAGTCAAAATTTTGTTTTTATGAGATATTTCATTCAATTCTTTCTTAAGATACTATTGCCTTTGAAAGCTCTTTAGGAGTTCCAATTATATCAAAGTCATCAACATTTACAGTTATAATAGCAAATCCCGACAGTGATTTCTTTATAAAAACACAAGGACAAATTAGATTATTTTGATATCCTTCTTTCAATAAATATCTACTCAAATAATTATACCTTATTCGTCCTGATTGTTTTAATCCATACAATGATCTCTGTAACTTTATTGAATATAGTTCTCGAGAACTTAGATTATATGTTTCAGGTAGCTTAAATCCTTCATGGATTTTTATATAAATATGATTATCAAGAGATTCATATAAATATACTGTGACTACATCCATAAGATGCATGTCAAGACTTGCAAACACAATCAGACCAATTAAATATCTCAGTGTAATTACATCCACTACCGTAGACTATGTCTCATCATAATCAATAGCGGACCTGTGTGAAAAACCTTGTGCAACCAGTCTTGCCTTATATCTTGTGACCTCATTGTTTTCATTTTTTTTTCTTACAAATACCCATTTGTATCTCACAGGTTTAACGTCTTCTGGTGTTCGGACTACTGGTCCAAGGACTTAACGTTTTGAAAGTGAGTTTAATTATGCTTGGATTGCTTTTTTCCACTCAAGCCAATCCTTTCTTTGTCGACATTCTTCCACAGATTTTGGTTCTAAATCCTCACTTTCAAGTATAATGTAAAGAACAACATTATAAGCAAAAATGTTGTCAATAACTACATTAGCTCGGTTCCATATTTTTCCTGTCATGACATAGTTTATTGAGATCTCATTATTATCCTCAGATACTTGATCTTTCTCAGTATCTCTATGTGTAGTCGTGTTTAGGATTCCTTTTGGAATATCCACATTTTCAATTGAGTCATTTCGATTATTGACTACTTTTCTCTTTCGACGATTTTTATCTTTGGAACCCATTGGTCCACCATGCACCCATTGGTCTACTATTCGAGATTTTTATTTTTCAAGGATTACTTATGACAATTTGCTGCATTGGGATATCGATTTTCGATGGAGCATTTGCAGTTGGTATATATGACTTGGTCTCTTTCTTAGCATCTATAAATGCATCTGGTAATTGATTTGTTATATTTTGCAAATGAATTATCTTCTGAACTTCAAGTTCACATTGATTTGTATGGGGATCTAAATAAGGCAATAATGATGAATTCCATGTAATTTCTTTTTCCAAGTTCTTAATTCCTCCCTGTAACTTTGAAAAATTTGTCTCATTAAAATGACAATCAGCAAATCGTGTAGTAAATGCATCACCCGTCAGTGGCTCAAGATATTTAAAAATTGATGGGGAATCAAATCCGACATATATTCCTAGCCTCCTTTGAGGACCCATCTTAGTACGTTTGGTGGAGCAATTGAAACATATACTGCACATCCAAAAACTCTTAGATGAGAAATATTTGGCTCCTGGCCATAAGCTAATTGTAATGGGGAATATTTATGATAGGCTGTTGGCCTAATGTGTGCAAGTGACGCCGCATGCAAAATAGCATGACCCCATATAGATGTAGGAAGCTTAGCTCTCATAAGTAACGGTTTAGCAATTAATTACAAACATTTTATAAATGATTATGCTAAACCATTTTGTGTATGAACATGAGCTACAGGATGTTCAACACTTCGCCATATAGTAATTATTAAATGATTGGGATGTAAATTCACCAGCATTATCAAGACGAATGCTTTTTATTGTATAATCGGGAAATTGTGCTCGTAGCTTTATTATTTGAGCAAGTAAGCTTGCAAATGCAAAGTTTCGACTTGATAATAAGTACACATGTGACCATCTACTCGATGCGTCTATTAACACCAATACATAAAAGGTCCACTTGGTGGATTTATGGGCGCTATATATATCACCATAAATTGGTTCTAAAAATGCAGGTGATTCAGTCACCACTTTAGCTGGTGATGGTCTAATAATTAATTTTCCTTGAGAGCAAGCATCACATGACAATTCATTAGCAGACTGAAGAATCTTCTGGTTCTTTAATGGATGTCCATGTGAATTTTCAATAATTCTTCTCATTAATATAGACCCAAGATGACCCAACTGGTCATGCCAAATAGTAAATATATATGGATTCATGAACTTCAGGTTCATTGTTGCATATATTTCAATTACTCATATATGAGTATAATATAATCCAGAAGTTACAACAGGCAGCTTTTCTAGTATACGTATTCCATGTGAGAGAGTAGATATAATATAAAGATACTTTATATTATTCTTATTATCAGTCTCAATATGATAACCATTGCAACGTATATCTTTAAAACTCAGTATATTTTTATTTGATTGACTAGAGAACAATGTGTCAATTGTAAATTTTGTTCCTCTAGGCAAAATAACATTTGTTTTTCCAAAATCTTCAATCAAGTTTGTAGAACCTGAT